TTGCTGTCAATAAATATGTGGGTAAATCTCTGTTCAGGGCTCTCAGCTCTGAAGGCTCTGAGTCCCCTGATTTCCCACTCCATATGCTATATTTCTGTGTGTGTGTCTTTAATTCCTCTAGTGCCACTGAGTTATGGTCTCCACGACTGAACTGGTCTCGACAACTTTAAATGTGAACAGGCTAAATGTCCCAATTAAAAGACACAAACTGGCAAATTGGATAGAGTCAAGACCCATCAGTATGCTGTATTCAGGAGACCCATCTCACATGCAGAGACACACAAAGGCTCAAAATAAAGGGATAGAGTAATATTTACCAAGCAAATGGAAAGAAAAAAAAAAGAAAAAGAAAAAGAAAAAAAGCAGAGCTTGCAATTCTAGACACACAAAGGCTCAAAATAAAGGGATAGAGGAATATTTACCAAGCAAATGGAAAGAAAAAAAGCAGAACTTGCAATTCTCGTCTCTGATAAAACAGACTTTATACCAACAAAGATCAAAATAGACAAAGAAGGGCATTACATAATAGTAAAAGGATCAATGCCACAAGAAGAGCTAACTTTCCTAAATATATATGTACCCAATACAGGAGCACCCAGATTCATAAAGCAAATTCTTAGAGACCTGCAAAGAGACTTAGACTCCCACACAATAATAGTGGGAGACTTTAACACTCCACTTTCAATATTAGATAAATCCACGAGACAGAAAAATTAACAAGGATATTCAGGACTCGAGCTCAGCTCTGGACCAAGCAGACCTAGTAGACATCTACAGAGCTCTTCACCCCAAATCAACAGCATATACATTCTTCTCAGCACCACATTGCACTTATTCTAAAATTGACCACAAAATTGGAAGTAAAACACTCCTCAGCAAATGCAGAAGCATGGAAATCATAGCAAACAGTCTCTCAGACCACAGTGCTATCAAATAAGAACTCAGAATTAAGAAACTCACTCAAAACCGCACAACTATATGGAAACTGAACAACCTGCTCCTGAATAACTACTGGGCAGAAACCAGGAAGTTCTTGGAAACCAATGGGAACAAAGACACAACGTACCAGAATCTCTGGGACACAGCTAAACAAGTGTTTAGAGGGAAATTTATAGCTCTAAATGCCCACAGAAGAAAACAGGAAAGATCTA